TCAGGGACTGACAGGTCAACCATACCCAGTGCTGAGAGGATGTTGAGGACCAGCAACTATTCCCCTCTAATAAGGTGCCAGCTGGCAAAAACGCTTTAGAAAACCATGTGGTGAGGCCCCCAGGGGATGGTTGGGCAGCTAAGGGCATCTGCCTGGTGAGTGTGACGCTGTGGGTTGGGTCCATGGTGCTGCCTCCATGTGCCCCATTGAGGATGTGCGATCCGGGTCAGACTGAGGCCACAGTCTGTGACATGTGGCTTCGTGTGCAAAACTGCAGTTGTCCAGATGTGGCGCTGAGTGTGAGAGCCACTACCAAGCGTGCACCGGCCCTCGTGCTTGGAATAAAGACCAGCTCTTTATTTCAAAGAGGGGAAAGACGGAGAGCGATCAACCTGTAACCGCACGTTAGTGAATCTCTTCTACAAGAGCTTGTGGCTCCAGGCTGAGATGCAACAATCTTCACACACTTTCTTCTAAGGAAACGTTGATCATTTTTAATGGATTATTCAGAATATTAAAACAAAATAAATGATTTAGGGCTTGCTACTGGGTAGGCTTGGGTGGTGATGGGGGGATTGGAAATAATGATGGTGGAAAGGTATAAGGGTGGTGGGATTGGTGTTGGAATGTTGGAGGTAATAAATTATTTTTTTTCTTTTTTTAATTAATTTTGATTAGTGAGACACCATAAGGTACAGTTGTAGACTTACAAATTTTTGTGCTAGGGTTTTGATTATACAATGATCAAGTACCCATCCCTCCACCAGTGCCCATTTCCCACCACCATGGATACCAGTATCCCTCCCACCCCCATCTCCCCCATCCCACCCTGCCTCTGTGGCAGGGCATTCCCTTTTGTTTTCTCTTTCCTTTTGGGTGTTGTGGTCTGCAAAGGAGGCATTGAGTGGCAATCATGTTCGGTCTATAGTCTACTTTCAACATGCATCTCCCATCCTGGGAGGATCCTCCAAACACCCTTTATTTGGTGCTCCCTTCTCTATCTGAGCTGCCCTTTCCCCTAGAATGCCCGGCTGGCCTCTAAGCCATGGAGTAATCCTCCTGGTACAGATCTCAGCTATTTTTGGGTATTAATCTCCTATTTTGTTACTTTATGTTCCCCAGATGAATGCAGTCTTTCTATGTCTATCCCTCTCTTTCTGACTCATTTCGCTTAGCATGATACTTTCCATGTTGTACCACTTGTATGTAAATTTCATGACTTCATCTTTTCTTTTTTTTTTTAATTTATTTTTTTCCCTTTATTTTATTTTATTTTTTTTAAAGTTGTAGATTTACAATTTTTTGTGCTTTGGTTTCAATTATACAATGATCAGATACCCATCCCTCCACCAGTGCCCATTTTCCACCACCATGGATAATATCCCTCCCACCCCCATCCCCCCATTCCCCCTGCCTCTGTGGCAGGGCAATCCCCTGTGTTCTCTCTCTCCTTTTGGGTGTTGTGGTCTGCAAAAGAGGCATTGAGTGGCAAACATGTTCAGTCCATAGTCTACTTTCGACATGCATCTCCCCTCCTGGGAGGATCCTCCAAACATCCTTTATTTGGTGCTCCCTTCTCTATCTGAACAGCCCTTTCCTCTAGGATACCCGGCTGGCCTCTAAGTTATGGAGTAATCCTCCTGGTGCTGATCTCAGCTATTCTTGGGTATTAATCTCATACTTTGTTACTTTATATCCCCCAGATGAATGCAATCTTTCTGTGTCTATCCCTCTCTTTCTGACTCATTTCGCTTAGCATGATACTTTCCATATTGTACCACTTGTATGTAAATTTCATGACTTCATCTTTTCTAAGAGCTACATAGTACTCCATTGTGTAGATGTACCAAAGTTTCTTTAACCAGTCATCTGTTCTTGGGCATTCAGGTTTCTTCCAGTTTCTGGCTATTGTAGACTTCATCTTTTCTAACAGCTAGATGTAATAAATTATTGTGGACAACTTTATAAAGCAAAAGGGAAAGGAAAATGAAGAAGGGGAGTAAAGCCAGCAAGTAAATCCGGGGGCATTATCACCGGCACAGGCACAGACTTAGGCCCTGCGATTGCTCTTCCCCTCACATGCTCAGCGCCAGGAGGAAGCAGACAGTTGACAGCCCGTTAGCAATAAGGGAAACCTGGAAACGAACCAGACATGTACCTCCCACCTGGCAAGGGGTAAACGCCTGAGGTTGCAAACAATGGGACGCCAGGAGCACCGCAAATAAAGCGGTGGATGAGATGACGGTGTTTAATAACGGGGGAAATCGTGTTCTGAAAGGAGTGTACAACACAGATCCATGCAATAAAGCTCAGAACAGAGGGAGTGCTGTGGACCATTTGCACAAACAGCTGTTGTTGGCAAAGAGTCAAAGAGCGTGGATGGAACTTGGAGGAGAAAGGAGGGGAAAAAACGGTGCAGGAGAGTTACCGTTGCGCTTACAAGGCTTTGTTTGATAAACAAATGAAAGCAACCCATCCTTCAGAGGGAGCACCTGGGCCAGCCCGTGTCTGTTTATCAGGGAGGGTGGACTTATGGCGTTCCAAGTGTTTTGTTGTAGTGACTTGTCTCAATGCTTGAAGTAGTTTTTAATCAAACATTTTCAAACTAAGTACTTCTGGAGAGCCACAAAATCCAAGGGATAGAAAACAGCCTGTGAGGGGTGGAGCTGAGCAGAGGTGGTGGCTAAGTGGGCTTGGAGTGTGATGGAAGCTTCTGCAGCTTGTTCATGTCAGAGGGAGCAGGTCAGGAGCGTTTTCAGGGGCGGGGGCATTCACCCACGGGGCCCACACGGCCCCCCGACTGGCCCCAAGCCTGCCCAGGACAAAGCTGGGGAGAAGCATGCAGCAAAGACAAACACCCTAGCCCTCCCCTCCACGGCAGGCCTGACTGGGGTCCCATAGAGGAAACACCAGACTCCCAAGATTGGTGTCCCAAACCCACCAGGAGCACTTCAGGGTGGGCTACAGCTGTGTTTCTGGAAACATCCACTATGGGGAGAGGTCTTTTTTTGTTTTTGTTTTTTTGCTTTTTAGTCACACCCGGTGATACACAGGGGTTGCTCCTGGCTCTGCACTCAGGAACGACTCCTGACGATGCTCAGGGGACCATATGGGATGCTGGGAATCGAACCTAGGTTGGCCGCATGCAGGGCAAATGCCCTACCCGCTGTGCTATCACTCCAGCCCCCAAGAGGTCTTTATTTTAAATTTAAAGACACACTTCTGGGGCTGGAGCCATAGTACAGCGGGGAGGGCGTTTGCCTTGCACGCAGCTGACCCGGGTTCGATCCACCAGGGTCCATTTTCCATCACCAGTGTCCCCAGTTTCCCTCCACTACACCCTCCTCTATGGCAGATGACAGGCACTTCTCTCTCTCTCTCTCTCTCTCTCTCTCTCCCCCTCCCTCTCTCCCTCTCTCACTCTCTCCCTTTCTTACTCTCTCTCTCTCAGGTACTGAGAGGTTATCATGTGTATCCCTTTACCTCCTTTCATTTCTTGTCCAGAATGGTCATTTCCAACTATTATTATCAAGGTGCTCCCTAACTGCCCTCCGCCCATCCCCCCAACACACATACTTGATTTTTTTTTTTTTGCTTTTTTGGGGTCACACCCAGCAATGCTCAGGGGTTAGCCAAGCTTTGCACTCAGGAAACACTCTTATTGGTGCTCAGGAATCGAACCTGGGTCAGCCACGTGCAAGGCAAACGCCCTCCCCACTCTACATCGCACTCCAGCCCCCATACTTGATTGTTATGACGACACCAGCCACACTAGGTTAGGGTCACTCCCACCCCCACCCCTCAGCCTCACTTTACCCTGGTTACCTTTGCAAAGACCAGAGCTCTAATTGCGGTCACATTCAAAAGGGTCAGGAGGATTAGGACTCCACACAGCTTTCCCAAGAGACAAAAAACGCTCCCCCCCTCCCCAGCAGGGACCAGGCACTGCAAAGATAAGTCGTGTCAGGATGTTTAACACCAGACCCGTGACTTGTGCTCATCCGAGGGAAAGTTACCAACCTGCAAAGGGACCCACAGCACAGCACAGAGGGACCCGGTGTTGAAAGCAATGTACTGGGATTCGCCTGAGAAAGAGATTTCACCGCCCACTCTACATTTCACGATCACGATCATCCTGTTGTTCATCGATTGCCTCGAGCAGGCCCCAGTAACATCTATTCGTCCTAACCCTGAGATTTAAAAAAAATGCCACATTCAAGGCTCTTTCAGGATTAGGAGAATGAGACCCATCATTGTTACTGGTATTTGGCATATTGGGTACGACACGGGGAGTTTGCCAGACTCTGCCGTGTGGGCAGGTAACATTTGGTAACCTGCCAGGTTGTTCAAAGTAAGAATGAGATAATGAGATGTTGGAGGGGGGCAGGTTGAGTTTACCTCCCCGCTCTGAACAGAACCAGCCACCACCATGCTGAGACCACTCTTCACATGCATGAAGGTACCAACAGAGGAACAAAGGCTTGCGGGTCCCGGGGCTGAGATCTCCAAGCCTGCTCGGATCAGGGCTGAGCATCCTCCACCCAGATCTTCCATCTCCCAGTAGGCAGGGGTCACACCCACCATCTGACCCCCAGCGCCGTGTAATCCCATCAACGGCCAAGACCCAGAGACTATAAAACCCAGCTCCCGGAATTTAATTCACCGTATTTGCTATTTTTCTACGATCACTGATGGAGAAAAATCAATGCCAGGTGAGACCAAAGGAAATCTGGACTTTTGATCCTCCTTATGGAAAAAGAGGACATCCGGGGCACTTCTGGGCCATGGAAAAGATGCTCAGAGAATGGTGCTCCCCTGTCCGCCCTCAGAACTCTTGCCCATGAAATACAGAGCAGCAGGTTGGGGGCAGATCACACTCACTGTCCCATCCAGGGACAAAAGGACAGTCACCTGAGTGAGGCCACCCTCCTCCTTGGGCGACTGCCTCATGGGGCCTGGCGCTGGGGGCCTGTGGTCCTGCCTCCCACGGGGTGGAGCCTTCATGGCCCTGCAGGACTGGCCCCCAGTAGGCTCCGCCGAACTTCCTGCCATGGCTTCTCAACCAGCAGCGTCAGCGCCAGCCCCGCGGTGAAGGTGAGCGAGCAGTGTCCCAGGAAGAGGTAGAGCTGGAGAGAGAAGGGGCAGGGCAGGGCGAACGCGCTCTCACTCCAGGGGCTGGTTTGTGTGTGACTCAAGAGTCCCAAACATGGCTTGGTGGTCAGCCACACATGCTAGGGCAAAAGGGAGCTCAGATAGAGAAGGGAGCACCAAATAAAGGGTGTTGGGAGGATCCTCCCAGGATGGGAGAAGCATGCTGAAAGTAAACTATGGACCGAACATGATTGCCACTCAATGCCTCTTTTGCACACCACAACACCCAATAGCAGAGAGAGAACAAAAGGGAGTGCCCTGCCACAGAGGCAGGGTGGGATGGGGGGATAGGGGGTGGGAGGGATACTGGGATCCACGGTGGTGGGAAATGCGCGCTGGTGGAGGGATGGGTATTTGATCATTGTATAATCAAAACCCAAGCACAAAAATTTGTAAGTCTACAACTGTACCTCATGGTGTCTCACTAATAAAAAAAAAAGTCCCAAATGGGGCTAGAGCAATAGCACAGCGGGGAGGGCATTTGCCTTGCACATTGCCAACCCAGGTTGATTCCCAGTATCCCATATGGTCCCCTGAGCACACCGCCAGGAGTAATTCCTGAATGCATGAACCAGAAGTAACTCCTGTGCATCGCTGGGTGTGACCCAAAAAGAAGAAAAAAAAAAAGAGTCCCAAACATCCAAACACAGAAATCAATCAAATGAATGGGTAGACTGGAGCCTTCCCGCCCTCCCACAAATCAAGGGAACAACCATGAGCCCTGGGAAGCAAGCAGAGGCAGGAGGTACTAGCACGGCAGGCAGGGCCCCGTGGCCAGGTTGACCCCCTGGAGTTGCGAAGAAGGGGGAGCAGGGGTGGGGGGCGGGGAGCTCACCATGTTGGTGTCTGTGTAGTGAATCAGCGTCTCCTGGAGCCCATTGTAGAGAATGATGAGGATGGGGTGCACCAAGTAGCAGGCGTAGCTGATGCTGGCCAGAAAGTGCCAGAGGCCGCAAGAAAGCAGCCGGTTCACCAGACCTGGGGACAACGGGCGTTATGAGGGGCCAGGAAAGACGTTCCACCAGGTTCTGTGAGGGGCCCCCAGCGAACACACCTGAGTGCTCGTTCCCAGATCAGGGTCCCAAGCTCATACACCTGGTGTCAGCTCACACACCTGAGTCTCAGCTCACACACTTGGGTACCAGTTCACACACCAGATCCCAGGATCTTTCTGAGTACCAGCCGTACTAGGTTAGGTCCCTCCCACCCCAACCTGGTCCCGGCTCATAAACCTGGGTCCTTGCTCCCAGCTCACACACCTGGTGCCAGCTCACACACCTGAGTCTTGGTTCATACATGTAGTGCCAGCTCACACCCCTGGTCCCCGCTCCCAAACCTGGTATCGCCTCGCATGGGGCTGCTGTGCTACAGGCAGGGACATGCGATGTGGGTTGCCCGTCCTCTCTTGCTGAAGCCTTTGCCTTTGAACCTCCTCAGCTCTGCTCAACGCACACAGGCTGTGCCGTGGCACGCCTCCTAGAAGGGTCCCACACTAGCCCCTGGCCACCGTGAGCGATCCCTCTCTGGCTCAGACTCTGAGCTGAGACGCATCTGTCCATCTGGAACCCCAAGGCGGGAGGTATCTTTGTGGACACAGTGAAGGTCAGGAGCTCCAGGGGAGATCATCCGGGCCAGGGGGGCCCGGAACCCAAAGGCAGGTGTCCTCATGAGTTGGGAAAGGAGAGGAAGGCGCCTCTGAGTGGGGAGCCAAGGCCCCAGAGGATGAAACAGTTTCCCCCAGAGCTTCCAGCAGGGACCAATCCGGCTGGCGCCTACAGTTTGGATGTCGAGTCTCCAGAACTGTGGGAGGCTCCTTTTCTTCAGTTTTAGGTCATAAAAAAGAGGGAGTGGGATTGGGCGGAGGAGGAGCATGAACAAGAAAAGCAGGAGGGGGAGAAAAAGAGTGGAGCAGGAGAGAGGGAGGAGGAGGAGGGGAAGGAAGAGGAGGAGGAGGAAGAATAAGAAGAAGAAGGGGAAGAGGAGGAGCAGGAGGAAGGGGAGGAGGAAGAGAGGAGGAAAAGCAGGAGGAAGGAAGGAGCAGGCAGAGGAGGAGGAGAAGGAGGAAGAGAAGGAGGAGAAGGAAGAAGGGGAGGAGGAGGAGGAGGAGGAAGGGGAGGAGGAGCAGAAGGAGGAAGAGAGGAGGAAGAGCAGGAGGAAGGAAGGAGAAGGCAGAGGAGAAGAGCAGGAGGAGGAGAAGGAGGAGAAGGCGGAGGAGGAGGGGGAGGAGGAGGACGAGGAGGAGCGGGAGGAGGAAGAGAGGAGGAAAAGCAGGAGGAAGGAAGGAAGAGGCAGAGGAGGAGGGGGAGGAGGAAGAGAGGAGAAAGAGCAGGAGGAAGGAAGAAGGCAGAGGAGGAGGGGAGGAGGGAGCGGGAGGAGGGCAGGGAGCGCGCGGATCCTCTGGCTCCGGTGCAGGAGTCCGCTGTTCCGCGTGCCTCTGGGCTCAGTCGCGCAGCACAGACTCCTTGGGGCCACGCTGCCCCTTCGTCCCTGCCCTCGCCCACCGAGAGCTGTCAGCCCGCCCGAAAGACGCGTCCCAGCTCAGGCTTCTCCTGCGTCCCCCGCCGCCGCTCGGGCTGGACTCCTGCTCGCCTGCTCCCGGGACCCCATCTCCAGGAGCCTCCTGTCACAGCTGCCACTGCCTCTGCCGTCATCCTCCTCCCCGAGCAGTCCCCGGGCGACATGCAGCTGTTGGAAATGATGCAGCAGGTCGTGCCTGGGGCCCTGGGAATAGAGTCCAAGCTTCCTCCCCACCCCCTGCTCTCTGTCCCCCTGGACCGTTTCTTCCTGCCGCTGCCGCCAGAGCTTTAGCGCCCCCTGCCGGCTGCCCGCCGAGCCCTGCTTCACTGTAGCCCCTAGGTGGATCCTTGAGTTTTGTATGTAAAATCAGCATGCAGACCTCCCAGAGTTTATGAGTTTAGAGTTGTTTATTTAACAGCTTTAAAAAGCTAGCTTGGGGGCCGCGGAGATAAATACGGAGCTTGCTTTTGCACGAGGCTGAGCTGGGTTTAATCCCGGGCACCACATACAGCCTCCTGAGACCAGCCTGGAGTGATTCCGGAACACAGATCCAAGAGTAAGTAAGCCCTGAGCATTGGCAGGTGTGGGTCCACCCCCCCAAAAAAAAGAAAAAAAAGAAAGAAAGAGAGAGAGAGAGAGAGAGAGAGAGGAAGGAAGGAAAGAAGGAAGGAAGGAAGGAAGGAAGGAAGGAAGGAGAGAGAGAGAGAGAAAGAAAGAAAGAAAGAAAGAAAGAAAGAAAGAAAGAAAGAAAGAAAGAAAGAAAGAAAGAAAGAAAGAAAGGTAGTTTGGATCCTTCAATGTCTAATAACCCAGGCCACACAGTGGATTATTAATCACTGGATCCTCGCCAGTTCCACGTATGCTGTCCATGGCCCATGCTGGTCTCTTGCTAGTTCTGTCCCTCCAAGTCCGCCACTATCCTCACTGCGACTCTGTTGTCTGTCACTGGGACTCCCCCGGCTGCCTCCCGTCGCCTCCAATCCCCTTTAACCCCCTGGCTCTCTTGTTACCTGGCTTTCCCTCTGTCTTCAGGCTTCCCTTGATCTTCCCTGCTGTCTTCCTCCCACTCACCTCAAACAGGTGAGTGCTCAGAGGAAGTGGCCAGCCTCTTCTTCCCTTTTATAGGTTTGCTATGTCCACCCCTTAGGCATCTCCATGATCTCTCTGTGCTTGGCTACCCGCCGTGTTGGTGAGATTTAAGAGGACCAATTGTTTTGACAAGTTTGGCATCCCCGCCCTCCACTCCACTGCCAAGACAACTGTGTTTGTCTACAGCTGAAATTATATCTGGAAGGGATTTACTTAAAGGGATTTACTTTACACCTCTGGATTTGTTTGCTTTGGTTGTTGAACACGGAGCACGAACATGGTAACTTGAGACAGAAATGTATTCTTTCTGTATTCTGCAGAACCCAAGTCCAAATTCCATCCCAAATCAACATCACGGGTCCCAGCAGTTGTTGGGCTGTGGTGGCTTCACCCCTATCAGGCCGGCACCTCCAAATCTCACTGACTTCCTCTTGTGATGATGCAAGGGATTGAGTGGAAGCATTCACCCAAGGAATCCAAGACAAATCTTCCGAAGAGCCTTTATTTAAGCACATCTTCAAAGGCCCAGGGATGGCCCAGGGTTATTTTGGGGGGTCATCTAGAGTTTCCTGGTCTCTCCATTCCCCTCAGCTCACTGTGCTCTCTGGCAGGGGGTGGATTTGATTTTTTTTCTCTTGTCTTGAACCAGAACAGGAAGTGTTCAATCATTATTTTATGAAACTGAGTGAATAAACAGAGATAGCTCATAGACAGAAGATGCTTTTGTCCCCAAGCGAATGCCCAAATGACAAGAGGAGCCAAGAATTACGGTGAAACAAAACTATTTGGGAGAAATTAAGTCCTGAAGATCCCGTTCCATGCAGGTATCTGTCCTTGTTCTCGGCATGGGCTAGGACTTGCTCCAGCCAGCCTTGGTCTTATTAATGTGCTTCGTTCATGCTTTATGGTTTTATAGTTAGTTATTAAATCCATTTGTTTTGGGTTTACAAATAAATGTGCTAGAAACATAAAAAGTGGATCTAGGTTTAGGTTTGTTTATGTCTGGAACTCAAATAACGTAGGCCAATATTATGGATCCAAAGGATTCTTTTCCCTTTGGAAGGAGCCCACATAATTTCGAGGTTTGGGGCTCATTACTAGCAATCAATGAAAGAATGACATGAAGAGGTGATTGTGGAACGCACCAAACTCCAACTTTAAAGAGCCTGGACCAGTGTAGTCTGTGCCTGCGATGACTAAAGGGGGAGGAAGGGATGGCTGGAGATCCTGCTGCATCCAGCATCTCAATGAACACTTCTTCTAGTGCTTGTCTCTAAAATTGGTCATCTGGTCTACCCATTGTCCCTAGAGTGCATCTCTCCCATTATCACACACACACACACACACACACACACACACACACACACACACTAATCATTCAGATGTCTCTAGCACGGTGCTGGAGATACAAACCTAGAGCAACACCTCCCTCCCACCCCGATGGGCTGCTGACCTCAGAGCAATGCATTGCTCAGGAGGGAACCCAAAGGGCCTGTTCTCACTTGGATAGACAGACGTCATCTGAGGAGAGAGATGGCACTGCCATGCTAATGCTGCAGGCATGTTTGGTCCTCTCCCTGACTGACCCAGCCCTCTTAAACCATGGCGTCCAGAAGCACCTGAACCTAGAGTCATAACCTGAGGCCTAGACTGAGAGCCCCGGTGTAGATGCCCTGGACTGACACAGAGCCATTAGCTCTCAGCACTGTTAACAGCTCAGGGCCAATGTCAGAGGGGGGAAGTGGGTTAGGATGTGGTCATGCCACCCAAACATTGGCCCTCCTCAGAAGACATGCAGCGTTCCTTCTGCGGTTTGTGAGGGGACGCTGGAGAGGGCAGTGTCCCGGAAATGAGGACGCTGGGCCTCACGCTTGGTGTGAGTTCATACTCAAGCACTCATATCTGAGGGGCCCATCTGGCCTCACCACCTGCACAGGGTACCCTGAGACACAACTCATTCGCTCCACCTCGAGGTGTGGTCTGCTTGGCTGGGTGGTGCATTCTCTCCCTTCCAAGCTGGGGTGCCGTTCATCCCTCCCCCCTCAAAGCCTCTGCTTCCTGCCCTCCCACATACTGAAAGCGGGTCTCCACAGACACCCTCCCCAACAAGCTGAAAGGGAGCTTGGGATTGTTCAGTCTGCGCTGTCGGAAGAAGTGACTGAGGCCCAGGGAGGGCAAGTCAGAACTCCAGTCCTATGCCCTGGTGTCTTTTCCCCTCACTCCATGTCCACCTTCTCTTCCAGCTTCCAACCTGGCTTCCTCAGGGGGCCCTAAATTCCTCCTATGGAATGTGCATCTGGGCAGCACCTAAGATAGTACAAGGCCCCGTGGGCATCAAAGTCCACAGTGCTCAGTGGTCTGCACTACAGCAAGTGGGAGGTGGGTGGGATATGAGCCCAGCCCCCTCCTAGCCCTGTCCTGGCCCCCTCCACTTCCCCACCTACCTCCGTAGCCTTGCCGGCAAGCAAACAGCACCCAGCCCACAGCCGCTGCCCACAGGGTCCGGTGCGTGGCCTGGTAGAGTGCGGTGGCCACTGGGGTGATAGCTGAGGAGTCATCTGCCATGTACGCAGGTGCGACGGCAACAAACAGCCCAGACAGCGAGCACATCCAGCCAAGCATGGCCTGCGCCTGTGAGGAAGTAAGGAGGGGTCAGAAACCCAGGGGCTGCCTGACACCCCACGCCCCTCTGTGTACCTTCACTGTCACTTGGGGGTCTGTCAACCTCAACCAATGCATAAAGGTAACAATCCAGGGGTATGGTGCTGCCAGCAGGTCAATCTGTACCTGTGAGGTGAGTGCATCAGCAGCCTGATGGCACCGTCAGACTTCCAGATACCTCAAAATTGCTGCTGTGCCTTTGGCCAGACCCCAAAATCTTGGGGCAAAGTTTACCAAGAAAGTAAACGGCCAGGGGCCAGAGCAATAGCACAGTGGGTAGGACGTTTGCCTTGCACGTGGCCGACCTGGGTTCGATCCCCGGCATCCCATATGGTCTCCCAAGCACCGCCAGGAGTAATTCCTGAGTGCAGAGCCAGGAATAATCCCTGAGCATTGCTGGGTGTGACCCAAAAAGCAAAAAAAAAAAAAAAGGAAAGAAAAAAAGAAAGTAAACAGCCAAAAGTTAGGTATGTGGGAGACACACCCACAAACCACCTCCACTCAGCTATATCACTGTTGTTGGGTTTTGGTGGTTTTTTCGGGGGGGGGGCTTTTTGGGTCACACCTGGTGATGCATAGAGGTTACTCCTGGCTCTGCACTCAGGAATTACCCCTGGCAGTGCTCAGGGGACCCTATGGGATGCTGGGAATCGAACCCAGTTCAACCCGGGTCGGCAGCGTGCAAGGCAAACGCCCTACCCGCTGTGCTATCACTCCAGCCCCTCAGCTATATAATTGGAGGCAGAGCCTCTCTGTTTCCTGATCAAACTGCTTAACAGCCATGATCCCAGAGACTCAAAAACGAATCTCGAAACCCAACAGCTTTTGGCAGAAATGTCCAGTCCCTGCAGTAGGTTACCAGTGCTGGGCCACCCCAGGTGGGAATAGGTTTCGTGCCTTGGCCTGTTCCCCCGGGCGGCCCAGTGGTCACCATTCTCCAGAGGCCACTGGACAGTCAGGTTTGGGCCCACAGTGAAGAGACATATGGGGCCTCACGGGAAGGGGGTTGAGCTGGCCCTTTCCTCCCTGTCACAACAAGACCCCGAGTCGCCACCCACGAACAGCCTCTCTGGCTCCTGATCAAGCCGTTTAATGGCCATGATCCCAGAGACTCAGAAAAAAATCGCAGAACCCAGTGGCTTTTGGCAGAAATGTGTCCAGTCCCTGCAGTAGGTTACCGGTGCTGGGCCACCCCAGGTGGGAATAGGTTTCGTGCCTTGGCCTGTTCCCCCTGGTGGCCTGGTGGCCGCCATCCTCCAGAGGCCACTGGACAGTCAGGTTTGGGCCCACAGTGATGAGACACATGCGGCCTCATAGGAAGGAAGGAAGGAAGGAAGGAAGGAAGGAAGGAAGGAAGGAAGGAAGGAAGGAAGGAAGGAAGGAAGATGGCACTCGAGCAGGATGCAGGATGGACGAGGAGGAGTCTGACTCGCTGCAGGTGAGTGAGAGCCTCACCTTGGTTCTGATAGTAGCCGGGGGGCTTTGGTGCACGAACAGGCTCAGAAAGAGGCCCAGGAGGAAGGGGCCGCAGCGGCAGTAGGGCTTGGTGTAGTACTCCAGGAAGTACAGCACAGACACGTCCTCACTGGGGAACAAAGACAGGCCGGGTAGGGTGACGGTCTGAGGACGGGATATTGCAATACCCAGGACCTGAGCAACACTGCACCCTTGGCCAGCACTGAACAACCAGCCCGAGGAACGAGACTCGCAATGAGAAGCCTGGCTGGAAGGGCCCCCAAATAAAGTTCCCCGGGTGGCTCTCATGAGTGAGACTGTCACCAGGTCACCCAGAGGCCCATGAGCTGATAGGCAGGACCTGACAGTCCCCTGATCAAAGGCCTGAAGGGTTATCCCTCCTCCCTTCCCTCCTCCGTCCCTCCACCCTTCTTCTCTCTCCCTCCTCACCTCCCTCCTTCCTTCCTTCCTTCCTTCCATCCTTCCTTCCTTCCTTCCTTCCCTCCTTCCTTTCTTCCCTTCCTTCCTCCCTCCATCCTTCCTCTTTCCCCCCTCCCTCCCTCCGTCTTTCCTTCCCTCCTTTCTTTACTCCTTCCTTCCTTTCTTCCTTTTCTCCTTCCTTTCTTCCTTTTCTCTTCCCTCCTTCCTTCTTTCCTCCCCCCTTTTCCCTTCCTTTCTCCCTCCCTCCTGTCTTTCCTCCTTCCCTCTCTCCTTCCTTCCCTCCTTCCCTCTCCCCTTCCTTCCTTCCTTCCTTCCTTCCTTCCTTCCTTCTTTCCTTCCTTTTTTACTTCCACCTTTTCCCTGCCTTTCTCCCTTCCTTCCCTTCTTCCCTTCCTCCTTCACTCCTTCCCTCCCTCCCTCCCCCCTTCCTTCCTTCCTTCCTTCCTTCCTTCCTTCCTTCCTTCCTTCCTTCCCTCCTTCCTTCCCCTCACAGGTACACACAGTTGACTCGCGAGCCAGGCGCTGCTCTGAACTGTGTCCTATATCAAAGGCTGCTCTGAGACGGTGACCTTGGAATCGGCACCAGAAGGAAGTGAGGAGCAAGTGCGGCCCCTAACTCAGCTCTGAAGGAACAGCACCATAGGGCAGGGACCAGCCCATGCCAAGACCAGAGGAGGCACGGCTGGGTGTGGCAGGGTCACGAGGCAGAGCTCATTCAGGTGGGGGGACACTGTTTCTTCCCAAGACTCTCTGGCCCTGTGCTGTGCAGGGGACCCCCTTCCCCACCTTCCTTAGACTCCACTCTCCCGGCTGCGGCTTGCAGGAACTGCATAGAGCCACACGGGGGTGCTGCTCTCCTCCGAGAAGTGAGGGGCCCTGTGCCTTCACGGGGACCCCGCCCTCCGCAGCCCTCCCATAGGATGCAGAGTTAGTCTGCTTTCCACCCAGAGCCCAGCACCCGCGCCCAGCAATGCCGTCACACAGGGGTCCTCATGGGTGGGTGGTCCCGGCCACTCCCGGGTACCTGGCCTCCGACGGATCTGCCACCGGCAGGCGGTAGAGCAGGGTGAGCAGGGCAGTGGCTGTGAAGGACGCCAGCAGCAACAGGGTCCCTACGGCGACCAGGAGGCGTTTGCTTCTGCAAAGAGAGGGTGACGCAGCTGAAAAGGTCAAAGGCTAGTAGCCGCACCGGCCTCTGCACACATCACTGGCTGTGTGGCCTTTGCAGGACTTTCGTCTGGAACATTCTCCTGGCCTGCCACCCCCTGAAGTTCCCCCCACAGGTCTAGAGCAGGGCAGAGTCAGCTCCCCCTCATCACACAGCCACGAGCAGAGCGAGGAAGAGCCTGGGACCCCCACAGAAAACGCAACCAGAAACCGGAAAGATAGAACCCGGTTAAGGTGCTGGCTCTGTATGTGACCAACCTGGGTTCCCTCTTGCGTATGGTCCCCTGAGCACTCCCAGGAGTGACCCCTGAGCACAAAACCAGGAGTCAGCCCTAAGCACAACTGGATATGCTCCCACACACACACACCTGACCCTGGAAAAAGGGACCATGCCTGTCCCTTGTCACCTCATGAAGCACTAAATTGACAGCAGCGATTGTTGACTTAGGAGAGAAAGAACTGCAAGAGGAATAGGGCGGGCGCATGAAGCTACGTTCCAGGCACAGAGGTAAGGCCAGACGAGGGTCCAGGCACACCCCCCAAAGTGCTCGGACACCTTGCAGATGAGGAATGCAGGGCGGAGCAGAGGTCAAGGAAGCAGAGATTCAGGTACTCCCAAGGGACCTGCTGCTGGGGATGTGAGCCCTCAACCAGGTGTGTGAGCCCCTCAACCAGGTGTGCAAACCCCCAACCAGGTGTGCAAGCCCCTTAACCAGGTGTGTGAGCCCCTCAACCAGGTGTGTGAGCCCCTCAACCAGGTGTGCAAACCCCCAAACAGGTGTGCAAGCCCCTCAACCAGGTGTGTGAGCCCCTCAACCAGGTGTGCAAGCCCCTCAACCAGGTGTGTGAACCCCTCAACCAGGTGTGTGAGCCCCTCAACCAGGTGTGCAAACCCCCAAACAGGTGTGCAAGCCCCTCAACCAGGTGTGTGAGCCCCTCAACCAGGTGTGTGAGCCCCTCAACCAGGTGTGCAAACCCCCAGCCAGGTGTACAAGCCCCTCAACATGGTGTGCAAACCCCTCAACCAAGTGTGCAAGGCCCTCAACCAGCTGTGCAAGCCCCTCAACCAGGTATGCGAGCCCCTCAACCAGGAGTGTGAAGAGTGCCGGGGGTAGCCGAGGGCCCACTGGACAAAAGTAGCATGTTGAAGACAGTTGTTGAGCTGACATTTGTAATCATGAAAACATTGGAAACAATCTAGATGCCACAAAATGGGCTATTGGGTCCTCAACCTGAAAAGCATGTGGGCCGGGGTAGGGCACGGCAAGGAGTGTCAGGGAAGAGCAGCTGGACGGAAGAGGCCAAGCCCAGCGCTGCCCAACACCTCGCTTCACAGGGCATTGAAGGCAAGCAGGACACTTGCTGTTCCAAACTGGGAGGTCGTTTCCCGAACACCACAACCCTGGGCCCCTCACAGAACCGGGGCATCCTGCGTGTCCAGGGAGAAGCCGTGTCCCAGAGACCCACTCACTTTCTGTGGACAAAGACCAGGACCGGTGCCAAGAGATGGAGCTGGAGGTCATTGGCCAGGTACCATGTCCAGCCGTTGCACTGCAGAGAAAGGGAGGGGCAGCTGTCCAGCTCTGAGGGTCTCACGTGCTCCTGGGGACCACCCCACCCACCCACACACGCACATAGAAGGTGGCAGATGGTAAGGAAGAGAAAGGGATTCCCAGTCACAGGATCCCTGCCACGTCCTGTGTCCCCCAATCCTGGCCACGGTCAGCAGCCACTTGCCAGTGATTGCTACTGGCTGACCCAGACCTCAGTCACGTTTCTCTCTGGTCTGGAAAACCACAGTAGCCCCTGTCTGGGCACAGAGGGGGGTGGGGGGATGTGACTCTCCCATGTCGCCTGAATGTCGTGGACAGCTGGGTCTGCCCCGAGGTATCCCCCTCTCTGTGGTCAGCCACAGTCAGCTGTGGGCTGGAGTATTAGTCCCCGGCGGTGTTCTGAGGGAGACTAGGTTATAGCAGTCCATTATCGTGGCTTTATTTTTGTGTGCATAAAGGCTGTTCATCTCTTATGAGCCTATGCTAATTATAAAACATTGGATTGGAGTCATCGCACAGCAGGGAGGGCATCTGCCTGGCATGCAGCCGATCCAGGTTCAGTCCCCGGCAGCCTGGAGGGTTCCCTGAGCACTGCTAGGAGTGACCCCTGAGTGCAGGGACAGGAGTAAGCCCTGAGAATGGTCAAGTGTGGCCCAAAAACAAAACAAGAAAACTATTATTATTTTAATGGGAGGCAAACACGTTACCTGCTGTGCTATCACTCCAGCCTGAGTGATAGCACAGCGGTAGGGCCTTTGCCTTGCGCGCAGCCAGCCTGACCAAGCCAGGTTCGATTCCTCCGCCCCTCTTGGAGAGCCTGGCAAGCTACCAAGAGTATTCAAAATGCCAAACACAGTAACAAGAAGTCTCACAATGGAGACGTTACTGGGCCCGCTCGAGCAAATCGATGAACAACGGGAGGAGAGTGTTTGTTTTTTTTGTTTGTTTTAATGGGAGGTGGGCTATTGGAGGGCTCACCCAGTGATGCTCAGGGATGACTCTTTGCTCTATGCTTAGGGATCACTCCTTGGGGTGCTCAGGGGACCTGATATGGGGCCATGGGCTTTGTGAGGAGGTAAGGGCTCTGCATTTCACAGGATAGGAAGTATGAGGGGCTTGTGGGCTGCGTCCAGGACATGCACCACAAGACTGGACCCAGCGCACCCAGCTCTCTCCTGCCGCGTTTTCCCCAGAATCTGGGTATTGCAGCACCCCTCACCACTCTCTCCATGTCAAGGAGGTCTCCCTGCCCACCTTCCTGTGAGGGCACCCGGCCCCCCGAACACCCAGGTGGAAGTTCTTCCCTACCCCGGGCCAGACCCCAGGTGGGTGCCCACCTGCCCCATTGGCAACTCACCGCCCGGCTGACCGACAGGAAGTTATTCAGCAGCAGCAAGTTCGTCCACCAAGCCCTGCGACAGCTGTCCAGGTGGAACTGGGGCACCTCCCACACGGGACCCCAGGGCACGAGCGAGAACAGGGTCACCGACAGGCACACGGAGTACAGGTGAAGGGGCTGCAGCCTGCCAGGAAGAGAGGACATGGGGGGACCCTGGAGCAGGGCCAGGAGATGGGCGTCCAGCGCGGCTGCCACGAGCCACCCTATGGGTGCCCAGATCCCTCGGCGCGTGCCCATCATACACAGACACCCTGAGCGAAGGGCTTTGTCGCCATCACACCTCAAACACCTGCCAGGTGCCCCCGTGTCTCGCCTGAGACTCGGGCTCAGAGACTTTCCCGAGGCAGCCCCGCCACACAGCAGCCACGGTCTGTCCCTCTCCCTGGCCTTGGTCTGTGGCTTCTTGGAAAGTTCGCGTCTAAGTTAGATGATGTGTCATGAGCCCACTGTAGGCAGAGGCTGAGCAGTATCAAGATTTGAGTTCTGGGACTGTAAAAAGTATGTATAGACAACATGGCAGATACATACGGCAAGACACTCACCTTGCCTGCAACCAACACTGGTTCAATCCCTGGCATCATGAAGGGTCTCTGGAACCCCACCAGGAGGAAGCCCCGAGCACAGAGTCAGGAGGAGAAAGCCCAGACCTTTGCTGGCTGTGACCCCGAATTACAACATAAGCCCAAAAAGAGGCAGATTTCCAGTTGTAAAAAAAAAAACATCTTGAGGGGGCTGGAGCGATAGCACAGCAGGTAGGGCGTTTGCCTTGCATACGGCTGACCCAGGTTCGATTCCCAGCATCCCATATGGTCCCCTGAGCACCGCCAGGAGTAATTCCTGAGTGCATGAGCCAGGAGTAACCCCTGCGCATCATCAGGTGTGACTCAAAAAAAAATTGAAAAAAAATCTTGATGGGGGTTGGAGCTATAGTAGAGTGGATAAGGTGCTTGCCTTGCATCCAGCTGACCCGGGTTCAATCCCTGACATCCCATATGGTCTCTAAGCACTGCCAAGAGTGATTCCTGAGTGCAGAACCATGAGCACCTGCCGGGCATGGGTGACACCCCAGGTTTCCAGCCCAGGCTGTATCCCACCTGGCCAAGGGCAATCCTTGGGTGATGGTTGGAATAAAATACATCCGCCCATATCTATGTTTTTAAATCACCAAAGTTCTAAATATAGACCTGAACCCCTGCTAGTTTTCAGCAATCATTTTCATTCCCTCAAATCATTTTCCAGTCTGCCAATTCCAGTTCAGAATTGACGATGCCCAGGGCCTGTCCTGGCAGCTCAGGGCACAAGGCCAGCTCTGGGCAAGATGGCGCATCTCACCCAGAGTCAATTCAATGGAACCCATGAGGAGAGTTTCTCTCTCTTGTCTTCGAGAGCTGGACTCAGCTGTAAACTGACCTGCACTACATAGCCACAGTGACTAGAGAGATAAACCTACCTCATAAGGCGTCCGAGGAAGTATCTGAGTAGGAACTTGGGTGTTATCCCATCCTCTGAATTCTGGAGCAGCTTGAAAAGTGACTTTGCACTTAACCAGCCGCTGGAAGAGAAGGTCGCGGTGACGTCTCATCAGTGGCGGTTCATTGCGGATCCAATGAGTATCATACCACAGGCATAGACATGGCTGAGATTTCATAGGATGAGGGTTTCCTTCTTGCTCATGCCTCTCGCACTAAGCCAGTGCCCTGAGCTCAGCACTCCGGGAGCCAAGCTGATGGAGAGCCCCCCCTCCCTGCCAGGGGTTAGGGTGCTTGCCTGGCACGTGGCTGGCCCGAGTTCTACCCCTGGCATTGCAGAGGGTCCTCTGAGCACCGCCAGGAGTGATTCCTGCACACTGCAGGTGTGGCCCCAAACCAAAGATTCTTCATCTGGTACCTGCTGATAAATGCTACACCCAGAATCTTTAGCTAAAGAAAACTAGACCTTGGGTGGGGGTAGGGAGCTTGGCGGGAGGCAGCAGGGGGGCAGTAACTGGGAAACTGTGAGAGCACGTGAAAGGCCTGGGTTTCATTCCCACATTACAAGCCCCGCCAAGCACCACTCGGCCTCAGCACCAGGGTGATGTCATCCCCACCATGACCAAAATAACAGAAAGAGGAGAAAGCACTTGAGCAGGGCTAACTGCGGAGCTCTCATGTCAGAGCAGACAAGTGTACGAGCGCCTCTGGACCCTTTGGCATTTATACCCTTCTGCCTGTGGGTGTCCCCTCAAGAACCCGTGTTTTTCCTATCCCCCAAAAGAAGACTGGGGGCAGGGAGGGTTGGGGAGGCTGGACTGGAGATGAACCCAGGAGGATTGGTGAATATTCTCCCCTGCCAGGGAGATTTTCTTTTGAATCACAGCAAGCGGGATTCTCTCTCACAGGAGCTCTGTTTCTGGGCCTTCTACAGGAGCATGACAGGGTAGGGATGAGCACAGACAGCCCCACCCCAGCCTCCTGGTCATTTCAGGAGAGTGGGAGTCAGGGGCCTGAACAAGCTCACTCCTAACTGCTCCTTTGCGGGCTGCCCGGCCCTTCTCATAACTAACGAGGCACCATGAGGAATGAAGAGGTTCTGGGCAGAGAACCAGCTCAGGGACTGAGATCCCGAGACTTAGATGGAACAACCAAAAATAACACATTAGAAAGAGACGTTTGAGGTCGGCGTGAGAGGCAGCGATGCTTCCAGAGCACCACTGATGGCGGGTGTCTGACCCTATCAGCATAAACAGAGTGACATCGTGGTCAAGACCTGGTTTGGGCCTAACACAAACATCGTCGGGGTCTGACTCTAAGTTTGCTCGCTGGGGAGACCGTGCTCCCAGATTTCCTCTCTGAAGATGAAGCAGCTTCTTTGTCAGCAAACATCATCTCGTGGTCTCTGTAAAGATGCGTGCGGTTTCCATTCTCACTTATAGACAGATGGTGGGAATCGTATGGGATAGAAGATTGCTCAGCTTGGCATCGTGGCAATACCAATTTCTGGCTATTAGAATTACGTTCATGTTCAAATGCAGTTTTGGTTTAAAGGCACATGTGTCCTTTTTGAACCAAATCAAATGTCGGGCCAGTGGGATAATACTGGGGAGGGTTAAAGCACTTGTCTTCCATATGACCAACCCCAGTTCCATCCCAGGTACCATAGGGGACCCCTGAGCACCGCAAGGAGTGACCCCTGGGTACAGAGCCAGGAATAGTCCCTGAGTACCACTGGGTATAGTCCAAACCCTGCCCTCCAAAACAGGAAATCAAAAGAAAATTGTAAAAATAACAAACAGCGACCAAGATTGGCAATGAACAATAGAAGTGAACAGAGATAAAGACGGAGGAAACTTTGACAGAGAATGGCGGGGGGGGGGGGGGGGGGCGGGGGGGAGCATAGGTTTATCTGGTTCCATACTGCCAGCCCCCCAACAAACCCCCCACCCCGGAGTTCATCGTCTGAGGCTCAGACTGCAGTGGCAGAATCTCCCGGGGCCTAGTAACAGGCCAGGGTGTAAAATCCAAGAGTCTGGGGTGGGGCCTGAGACTCTGCATTTCTAACAACCAGGAAACAGCGCTGGCCTCTGAACTAGGATCTTAGAGGGGGGTCGAGGGCGTTTCTGGGGTCTCCCTGATGGCCCAGCACCTTTCTTGACCTTCGTTCCTCCCTCCTGGGGCAGTTCTCCAGCTTGAGCTTGGCCCTTGGCTGCGCCACCCGCATCTGTGCTTTCAGCTGCCTCCTGGCGCCCGGGGCACTGCCCACACGGCCTGCCCAGCACAGGGAGCCTTTCTGGCCTTGTGTTTACTAACCCACAGGATTCTGTTCTTTTGGCTGGTGCTTGGGGGCAGAATCCCCGCCCCGCACCGCCCCCACACACACCCACCCTAGGCCCTCACCAACACCTGGGCCCCTCCCCCCCCACCAGGCCAGCTCCTCCCCCTTTGAAGGCCCCATGGCCTTCATCATCGCCCTGTTTGCTGCCAACATGGCCCGACTCGCCCCTCTGGCGGCACTGGCGGGAGCAGCTGTCTCGGAGACGGGGTGTGGCATCCGGACTCCTCTCTCTCCTCCATGCGGAGAAACCACCACAGCCGAGCCTTGGCACCCCATGAGGAAACCGTTTCAAGGCCGTTTCAGGGGCCAAGGATGAGGCTCAGCTGTCGAGCATTTGCCTCGCTCGTGTGTGTGAGGTCCTGGTTCAATTCCTGGGCCCCCAAAATAAAACTTTCTAAGCTAGAGAGGGCTCAGAGGGCTGGAGCACAGGCAACCCCCAAGCACCATGGGCCTTGCCCAGGTGCCACCGAGCACGGCTGACCTGGGCACCACCAGCCTGCGTGGGACCCTGATCCTCCAAGGCTGACTGAGCCAGCACACACACATATGCAGCATGCACGCAGATAAAAGCCACATGCCTGTGTGTGCATTCTCCTACATATATGGCCATGCAGTGTGTGCATATGGACATTCATGCATAAACACACACATTTATATATATATATATGTTTCTATGGACTCAATATGCCAAATACCAGTAACAATGATAGATCTTGTTCTCCTAGCCCTGAAAGAGCACTGAATATGGCTCTTTTAAAATCTCAGGGCTAGGAAGAAGGAGACATTACTGGTGCCTGCTCGAGGCAATTGACGAACAACAGGATGATCGTAATCGTGATCGTGATCATTCTATGGACTTGGCTTGTTGGATCAAGAGCAAAATCAAATTAGGAAGTGTTGGGGGGTTCTTTTCATTTTTTCATTCAATTTTTTTATTTTGTTTTTGTTTGGGTCCATGCCTGATGATGCTCAGGGATTACACCTGGTTCTGTGCTCAAGAGTTACTTGGGGGACCCATATGAGATGCCAAGGGTTGAACTTGGATCGGCCATGAGCAAGGCAAACACCCTACCGCTGTACTCGATCAATCTCCAGCCCCTCGATCAATTTGTATTAAGGTATTGAGATTTGCAGAAAATGACTGTTCACGCTTTGGGCTTACAGCCCTATGACCCACACACACACACACACACACACACACACACACACACACACACACACAGCGCCAAGAGCTGGGTGGGCCCGTTTCCCCACCCAGGGCTGCGGTGAAGGGCAGCGGGAGCCGCCTGGCGGGAGCTGCTTCTCTGCTGCCCCCGTGGCGCCTTCGCTGCCGCAGAGTGCGAGCTTATCAACAGGATGTGTGGGTCACTCGGGAGAGGCTCCGTTGTTCGGCCCCAACAGTCTCTCCAGCTTCCTCTTCGCTGTGACAGCAGGAGGGTTCCGAGATAGAGCAGGGCGCAGGGGTGACAGTGAGCTAGTCCCTTCACTCACTAAAGAAAGACAACACACACACACAGAGGCACACACATACACACACACAGGGGCATACACACACTCATATGCACACACAGAGACACACATACACACACAGGGCATACCCCCCACACACACACACCCAGGGGCATACACACATTCATATACACAGAGGCACACACACATTCACATATGCAGACACAGAGAGAAACACATACAGATACTCAGATACACATATAAACACAAACACACTCAGACACACACATACACTCATACATACACATACATACACGCATAGACACACACATAATGTATATACATACACTCACACACACATACACACTCATACATATACTCAAAGACACACATATATACATACACTCATACACACATACACATATACACACTACTCATTACAGGTATATAAACACACGCATACACATTCATAAACACATACTCATACACACATTCACATATACATATATACATACATATACACAGAGTCATACGCACTCAGACACATACACTCACACACATACACATACACACTCATAAACACATACTCATACATGCATTCACATATACATACTCATACACAGAGTCATACGCACTCAGACACATACACTCACACACATACATACTCACTCATGCGTGCACGCGTGCGCGCACACACACACACACACACACAGAGCCCCAGGTACCAGCAGGCACAGAGCAGAGCAAACCCCGAGTCACCTGATGAGGAAGAAGGTGTCGACGGCCAGGTAGAAGGGGCCACTCCGCGAGTAGAGGTGCAGCGGGCTCCGGGGGACCCTGCTCTTCCACTCGAGCACGTTATCTGGAACAGATGCGGGAAAGGAGATTCTCTTGAGTGTGAGGAAATTGCGGGGTTTCAAGAGCAACATCGTGCAATTGTATCGGGGGTCGAGTGCATCCATCCCATGATCCCCTGAAAGGTCATCTTGGCCTGGGCATCAACGCTGGTGGCCAAGACAGGCCCTCTCTGGACTCTCATGGCTTCCCCCGCCCCAAACTGAGATGTGGTTGGCCCCTCTGGACACCACGTCGGGGTGAATTCTTGGAGAAGACTGTGAATGCTTAGTCTGGCTGCTTCTCCCACGGGAAAGGAAGTGGGTGAAGGACCTTAGCTCTTTAGAGGCCAGGCATGTGAAACTCGGGAGACAGGGGGTCACCTGAGGTAGCCTAAGAGGCAGCCTGCAGCCTCTGGACACCACCCGCAGACCCGCCGTGGGAAATAATGCTCTGGTTCTAAACCAGATGGGAGCCTGTAGTCTCTTGCTCTCCTGCTGTGACAACCCCCGTGGGAGAGTCACCCCCCACTCCCATTCCAAGGGCTCAGAAAGGCTCCGCACCCAAAGACAGCCACGCGGTCATCTGAGCGGTGTGCCCGGACATGACCCAGAGGAGACTCAAGGCCCGGATGCCGTCCAGTGCTGGGCATGTGCTTCCGGGTGTCTCCGGCGTCCAGACGGTCGACACACTCTTCTGCCAAGAAAGGCAAATCAGCACATGGGCCACGGCCTCGGGGAACCCTGGGTGGGAGCAAAGGTGTGACTGCTCATGCCGTGGCCAGCCTTAGAGCAGCCCGGTACAACCTCGAGAACCTGCTCTCTGCACACTCGGGCCGGCCCTGATCTCTCCTCTGGTCCCCTCTTGACCCGTCTGAGGCCCTGGGAAAATGTTTTACTCCTCTCCTCCTCCCCACCACGACCCACTTAACCTGGATCCAGACTCCCAGGCAGGCCCCTTCACTCCTGGAGCCTGTCTCCTCATTTTAAAATGAGCGTGCGGGGCCAGAGACAGAGAGGGAGAGAACTTGCATGCAGCAGACCCTGGTTCGAATCCCAGCACCACATACAGTCCCCCAAGCATCGTCAGGGGTCACTCAGAGCACAGAGCCAGGAACATCCAGGAACATGGCCAGGTGTGGCCCCCAAAACTCAAATAGTTATTGTTATTTTGGTTATTGGATCCAACAGGGGTAACCACATGCAAGGCAAGTTAGCCAACCTACCACACTATCTCTCTGGGCTGCCCCTGATCGCTTTTTATGGCCCTGTTTGGACTATGCACCTCAACCTGCCTGACCCAGATGCACATGCTCTAAAAATCTGTGGCCATTCTTGTTTCAGAGTGTGTGCAAGTAGGTGCGTGATCTTTTGCCTTGCCACGTGAGCAGGAGGACATAATTTTTGGTTTGAATTTGGTTTGGTTTGGTTTGGTTTGGTTTGGTTTGTTTGGGAGCTACACCTGGTGATGCTCAGGGATAACTCCTGGCTATATGCTCAGCAATCACTTCTGGCAGTGCTCAGGGGACCATATGGGATGGTGGAGACAGAACCCGGGTTGGTCTCCTGCAAGGCAAATGCCTTCCTCGCTGAACTCTCTCTCCAGCCCTGAACACTCCTAACTTTTAACTGAAACACAACCCAGGTGACACTGCTCTCAGCCACACCCCTACTTGCCTGGAAAAGGGACTCTGGCCCTGGAATACCCAGCCAGGCTTAATCCGTTCACTCCCCTGCCTCGGTTTCTCTGGAAACCATTCTCCTCGTGAGAGACAGGAGGTCCTGAGTCGACTGTGTGGTTGCCGCGCTGGACACTGTGACCCAGAGTCGTTGGGGCTGGGCTTGTCCAGTGCACCCCAAGCACAGCACGCGCTCTGAGGGAGCACAGGGACACATGGGAGACCATGCTGCATTGCAAGCTGAGCACATGTGAGGCTGGCTGGGGTGCAGAGGGGAGGGAAGCCCCGGAGTCGCCGGGGAGCTGCGATACCTACTTCGTTCTTGGCTGGGGACCCCTGGGCCCAGCGTGCTGTCCCTCTGCCCGCTCCGCAGCCGGTCGCTCAGGTGCAGGCTCCCATAATGGGCTGGCGGTGCCCGGGGCTCGGAAGATGCTGCCCCGCCCCGGAAGGCTACATAGAAGGTTCCAGCCAGAGGCAGGGCGGGACCCAGCAGGGTGAAGAACCTGCAGAGAGTAAAGCAGTGGCTTGACCCAGTGGCAACAGAGACGCTAACAGAGCCGCCAGGACCCCCCCATACACACACGGCGAAAGCCCCTGCCCGAATGCGGCCCACTGCAAGGGCGGAAGTGATCCATCCTTTCAGTGATGGGCAGCGTGGGATGGATCCCGACCAGGCACCTGCAGGGCCCGGCGCCGCCGCTGGGGGCGCTCTGCCCCCGACCGGATCCTGGGTGGCTTTTCTGGGGGTTGGCTATGCTTGGAGATCCCTCTCAGCTCAGGCCTCAGGGGTTGCTCCTGGGTGCTCTGGGGACCGTGAGGCGCTGCAGACCCAAGCCGGCCTCAAACGTAAGGCAAGAGCCCTAACGCGGAGCCTCACTGCTCGCTGACTCCTGGAAATGGAATTCTAATATAGAAATGGGGAAGAAAAAAATCAAAAAGCAAGATAAAACATTAATAGATCTTATCAAACTCCTTAAAATTGTTTGCTTTGTTTTGGTGTGTGCGTATGTGCATGTGTATGTGCGTGCATGTGTGTGCATGCCTTCATGTGTGTGCGTTTGTGTGCATGCATGTGAGTGCATGTGTGTGTGCATGTGTGTGTGTGTTTGGTGCTAGGGATAGAACTCAGGCAAGGCATGCTCTCTATCCCCAGCCAATACTTAGCCCACCTTCTTATCACTGTAAGGAGTTGGTCACTTCTCAGATGCCCATTCTCAACTGAGACCTTTGGGATATCTCAGGAGGGGGGCGGGCCAGACACCCCATTAACAGAGCCCCAGCTGCCGCTCCCACACCCACAGCTCTGCCATGTCCTGCCTTCAGCCATATCGCCCAGTTCAATATTCTGACTTTTCTGCAACATGTCACATCTCCAAACCCTCCAACACTGACATCCCAGTAGGGGCACACCAGATCGGATGGATGTACATGAAGCCAACCATTCTTGAGTAACAAACATTAGCACAGAAGCGTAACTTGTAACAACCGCTTAGTAAACCCTCAGACCAGGGCTTCACGTCCCCATGGGGAGACACAACAATTTTCACCTACAGAAATATTTTCTGATCATTCTGTTAGCCATTTATGGGTAACAAGTAATATAAATTATTGTGGGCTTGCTATGGGGGCAGGCTAGAGGGGTGGTTGGGAAAATGGAGACAGCGGTGAAGGGAAGGTGGTAGAGTTGGTGGGTTTGGGATTGGAATATTGAATGCCTAGTAACAAATCATCATGAATAATTTTGTAAACCACAGTGTTTAAATAAAGTGGAGGAGAAAAAACTGAGAGAGAGAGAGAGAGGAGGAAAGAAAGAAAGGAAGAAGGAAGGAAGGAAGGAAGAAAGAAAGAAAGAAAGGAAGGAAGGAAGGAAGGAAGGAAGAAAGAAAGAAAGAAAGAAAGAAAGAAAGAAAGAAAGAAAGAAAGAAAGAAAGTTGCCTTATACGTGACCACCCAGGTTTGATCCCCTATACTGCTATGGTGTCCTGAGCCTCATCAACGTGATCCCTAAGCACAAAATCAGAGTAATCCCTGAGTACCACAAGTTGTGACCAAAAAATAAAACTACCAAAACATCATAAATCAACACAATAAAAAATCACCAAAACACAGCAGAAAATATTTGCAGCTGATAAGACTAAGGATCCATAGTCTTTATATCTAATAATAAACCTTAAAATGAAAGATGGGCTGGAGCGATAGCACAGCAGGTAGGGCGTTTGCCTTGCAAGCAGCCAACGTGGCCAACCCAAGTTTGATTCCTCTGCCCCTCTCAGAGAGCCCGGCAAGCTACTGAGAGTATCTCGCCCGCAAAACAAAGCCTGGCAAGCTCCCTGTGATGTATTCGATATGCCAAACAAGTCTCACAATGTTACTGGATGCGCTCGAGCAAATCAATTAACAACGGGAGGATAGGGACAGTGAAAATGAATGATGAGGGGTCCGAGATAGTACATGCATAAGGGGCGAGTTGACCCCTGTTCAATGCTACCTACACTGCATAGGGTCCCCTGAGGCCCTTGGCAGGAGTCAGCCCTGAACAGAGGGACAAGAGTAACCCTGAGCAGTGCAGGGGTGGCCCCAAAACAAAATAACAATAAATCAAGAGTGCAGCTAAAATTGTTGTGGGGAAGAGTGAGGAGTGGGGGTTAATTTAACAGATGAACCTGGGGGAAAACTCCCATTCCCAAATTCTTACATGTACCCAAAGCCAATTCGTTTAGTTCCCTCATGGGTGCCAGTTTTTTGTCAAGGTAGATTTGGAGATTGGAGGCAGCGAGGATACAGATGAGGAAGCTTCTCGTCAGGGGCTGCATGGGTGAGGTTTGTTGCTGTTTGTCTGTCTGGGTGTTTACTTCGTTACTTTTTTAGTGAGAGAGCATTGCTTACAAGTGCTGAAGCCCGGGTACACCATTTGTGGGAGAAGGCAAGGCCTGGATAAAAAAAATGCATCCTCAGCCCAGGAGAGGAGCAGGAATATTTGGGGAACAAACACATCCCCCCAATTCAGCAGCCCCTTCCCTCCCTGATCAGGTTTGTGCTCTGACTGAAGTGAATGTAGATGCCTCCCTGCAAGGCAGCCCTGGGCATTCAGCAAAGGAACTATCGGTGTGGTGTGGTGTGGTGTGGTGTGGTGTGGTGTGGTGTGGTGTGGTGTGGTGTGGTGTGGTATGAGTGTAGTGTAAATATGGTGTGAGTCTGGTGTGGTGTGAGTGTGGTGTGGTGTGGTGTGCTGTGAGTGTGGTGTGGTGTGAGTGGTATTGTGTGAGTATGGTGTGAGTATGGTGTAAGGTGGTGTGGTGTGGTCTGCTGTGAGTGTGGTATGGTGTGAGTGGTGTGAGTGTGGTATGGTGTGGTGTAGGTGTGAGTGTGGTGTGAGTGTGGTGTGGTGTGATGTGAGGGTGGTGTGGTGTGAATGTGGTGTGAGTGCGGTGTGGAGTGGTGTGGTGTGAGTGTGGTGTGGTGTGGGTGTGGTGTGATGTGGGTGTGGTGTGGTGTGAATGTGGTGTGAGTGCGGTGCGGTGCGGTGTGGTGTGGTGTGGTGTGGTGTGAGTGTAGTGTGAGTGTGGTGTGGTGTGGTGTGGGTGTGTTGTGATGTGGGTGTGGTGTGGTGTGAATGTGGTGTGAGTGCGGTGTGGTGTGGTGTGAGTGTGGTATGGTGTGGTGTGGTGTGAGTGCAGTGTGAGTGTGGTGTGGTATGAGGGTAATGTGAGTGTGGTGTCAGTGTGCTGTGGTGTGGTGAGTGTGCTGTGGTGTGAGTGTGGTGAGTGTGATGTGGCATGGTATGAGTGTGGTGTGAATGTGGTGAGTGTGGTGTGATGTGAGTGTGGTGTGGTGTGAATGTGGTGTGAGTGCGGTGTGGTGTGGTGTGGTGTGAGTGTGGTGTGGTGTGAGTGTGGTGTGATGTGGTATGGGTGTGTTGTGATGTGGGTGTGGTGTGGTGTGAATGTGGTGTGAGTGCGGTGTGGTGTGGTGTGAGTGTGGTATGGTGTGGTGTGGTGTGGTGTGAGTGCGGTGTGAGTGTGGTGTGGTATGAGGGTAATGTGAGTGTGGTGTCAGTGTGCTGTGGTGTGGTGAGTGTGCTGTGGTGTGAGTGTGGTGAGTGTGATGTGGCATGGTATGAGTGTGGTGTGAATGTGGTGAGTGTGGTGTGGTGTGGGGTGGGTGTGGTGTGATGTGGGTGTGGTGTGGTGTGAATGTGGTGTGATGTGGGTGTGGTGTGGTGTGAATGTGGTGTGAGTGCGGTGTGGTGTGGTGTGAGTGTGGTGTGGTGTGAGTGTGGTGTGAGTGTGGTGTGATGTGGTATGGGTGTGGTATGGTGTGAATGTGGTGTGAGTGCGGTGTGGTGTGGTGTGGTGTGAGTGTGGTGTGGTGTGGTGTGGTGTGAGTGCAGTGTGAGTGTGGTGTGGTATGAGGGTAATGTGAGTGTGGTGTCAGTGTGCTGTGGTATGGTGAGTGTGCTGTGGTGTGAGTGTGGTGAGTGTGATGTGGCATGGTATGAGTGTGGTGTGAATGTGGTGAGTGTGGTGTGATGTGAGTGTGGTGTGAGTGTGGTGTGAGTGTGGTGTGGTGTGAGTGTGGTGTGGTATAGGGTGATTGGTGTGGTGTGTGAGTGTGATGTGGTATGGTGTGAGTGTGGTGTGGTGTGACTATGGTGTGGTGTGAGTATGGTATTTTGTGGTGTGAGGGCGGTCAGCACAAGCAAGCAAGTGACAGCCCCACACAGAGCTCCCAGCCCCGACCTGAGGTGAGACACAGTGACTCACAGACACACGGCTGCAAACAGGTCCAGGGGGAACTTTCCAGACGCACACCTGGCCGCACGCCTGCGAACCAAGGAGGAAGAATTCTGTGCAAAGAGAGTGAGGGAAGGGGCCTCAAACGGAGCGCCTCGGAATTTCAAAATACCTACCGGGAGGAAAGGAAGGTGTATTAGCCATCCCCGCGTCTGCAGTAAACACGCTTGTCTACGCTCCTTCCCCGCTATGGTAATCCGAGGCCACAGCCAGCTCCCTGCTCTGCCACGGTCACTCCCTGCGGGGCCCAGGGGACCGTCCTGGTCACTGAGCCCAGGCCTCCTGCATGCTGAGTGTGTGCACAGCCCCTTGCACTGTCTCTCCAGCCCTCGTGCCTGTGATTTCTTTTTTGAGTTCTTTAATTAAATTTTTTTAAATGAATCACCATGAGGTACAGTTACAGACTTACAAACTTTTGTGCTTACGTTTCAGTCATACAATGATCAAGAAAGGGACCCTCCTTTCGTGCCTGTGATTTCTAAAAGCAAAACTTGCCTGAAAAGTGCAGCTAATGTTCACTATCTCTGGCTTATGGGGGGCCCGAGCTGGCGCCAGAGCTGCGATGGGAGCACCTAACTCAGCCCACGCAGCGTGGGCCCCGGCCTCGCATGCTCCCAGCCACTCCAGTCTCACTCTCCAGCCCTCACAGTGCCTCAGGTGACTGTGAACACCAGCTAAGACATCACAGCTGCTCAAATAGATCTGGGACAAGCCCCCCAGTGAGAAAGTGGGTCTGCAAAACGAAAGGAACCCTGAAGGTGCTGGGAAGGACCCCCCGAAACCCGCGAGGCTGGGCTGGAGGATGCCTGGCAGAATCCCAGGCTGGACCTCCGCTCGGCTTGTCCCCGGCTGCCTCAGAACCCCCAGAAACAATCACCGCCCTGCTGTGGGCAACCCAGAGAATTTCCATTTCTAACCCCAAAGACTCTTCCCACTTGTTGCACCAGTGCCCTTTCCTCAAAATCCCCCTGTATGGGTCATAATTATTTTTAACCCGCACGGCAAATCCTGGCAAGCTACCCGTGACATATTCGATATGCCAAACATAGTAACAAGTCTCACATTGTCACTGGGCCTACTCAAGCAAATCGATGAACAGCGGGAGGACAGTGACAGTGACATTTTATTCTGACTTCAACTCTGGTGAACACTCGTGTTTGTATTCACCTAAAAAATGAGGCTGACTGGGAAACACCTTTCAAAATGAGGTAAACACCTTTCAAAAGCGAGGAAGGCGATTGCCTTGCACACAGCCACCCTGGGGTCCTATTCCCCCGCACTATACAGGGTCCCCCGAGCACACCAGGACTCAGTCCTGAACACAGAGCCACGAGGAAGTCCTGAGCACTGCCAGGTGTGGGCTCGAATCCAAAAAGAAAAAAGAAAAACAATAAAACCATATGTTCAATGACAGACCAAGATAAAGAAGTTGTTCTACAGTCTTTTCCTTCAAATCGATGATAAAGAAAGCAAAGGCGTAATGTCAACATTTCTTACATGGTTGCACAAGTATTTAGCTACTTAATTTAACGGATCTCAAAACTGTCAAAGAATCATGACTTTCTCAATGAGTATCTGTGGCACATGGCTTCAGCATTTTTTTTTTCTTTTTGGGTCACACCCAGCGATGCTCAGGGGTTATTCCTGGCTCTGCACTCAGGAACAACTCCTGACGATGCTTAGGGGACCATATGGGATGCCGGGGATTGAACCCAGGTCGGCCGCATGCAAGGCAAACGCCCTACCCGCTGTGCTATCACTCCGGCCCCCTGGCTTAAGCATTTTTTTTTTCCCCAACATTTCATCAATGTTTCTGAAGATACCAACATTTGGGGTTTTTTTTGTTGGTTTTTTTTTTTTGCCCTTTGGGTCACATCCCATCCGGCAATGCATAGGGGTTACTCCTGGCTAATGCACTCAGGAATTACTCCTGACGGTGCTTGGGGGGACCATATGGGATGCTGGGAATCAAACCTGGTCGGCCACGTGCAAGGCAAATGACATATCTGCTATGCTATCACTCCAGCCCCAGATACCGACATTTGAAACTTGCTGTTTAACCTCTTACACATCTTACCTTAATATATATATATATGAACATGTCATATCTATATAAATAAATACTTGGGGCTAGAGCGATAGCACAGCGGGTAGGGCGTTTGCCTTGCACGTGGCCAACCCGGGTTCGATTTCCAGCATCCTATATGGTCCCCCAGGAGTAATTCCTGAGTGCAAAGCCAGGAGTAACCCCTGTGCATTGCCGGGTGTGACCCAAAAGGAAAAAAAAAAGTTAATATAGAAAGACAATCACAGTGACCATTTTAAGCCGGAAGCTCTTTTCGTGAAAATCCTGAAAGACTCTGGAAATCAGACCCGTTTCCCTGGGGACTAACAGGCATTTAGATCCTGGAGGGCCCCAGCCAGAATTACCTTGAAGGTCCCAGAGAGTTCAGGCCAGACTGAAAGGTCTCGTCCATCCCTCTCTGGGCCCTGGAAGAGGCTGTCACTCGAGAAGATTGTTTCCCAGAATCCCACAGCGAGGAGGTGACAACCAGGGCCAGTCCCCAGTCTAATACAACGCACTTCCCTCACACAGTCCCTGCTCAGAAGGACCACAGCAGAAATTCCTTCATGGTAGTGTGGGCCGTGGTCAGCATCCAGCTGCTACACCCAGTGCAGGCCTTTTCTTGTCGGCAGGGTGTTCCTCTCCGGCCCAGGCTTTAAGAAGCGAGGGTCAACCAGGAGCCCCCGTCGTGATGACGGGGACCTGAGCAGGGGAGGGGCAGTGTTGGGGTGCTGCTTCAGTGTTGAGGGTCCCCACCTCTGCAGAGACCACCCTCCCTCTGGCAGGTATCTCCACTTACCCAGCAAAGACATCCTTGTCACCTCCTCTTTGGAGCAAGAGTCAGGGACGCACACCCCCACGCTGTAGTCGGTGCCGTCCTGGAAGACAGAGCACAGCGGCCTTGAGCCTCTTCAGCCAAGTCAGGCAGAAACGCATCGTCAGGGTCTGTCGGGAGCAGGGTGGGCAGAGGGCTGCCAGCATCTGTGGACGTGGCCCCGCTCCCAGCCGGGCTCTGCGCTTCAGGCACCTGTACTGACAGGGAAATTCGGTAACGTGTCAGACTTCCCCGAGGGACTGATTCGAAAGGCAGCGGCATGCGGAGATAATCCATCTCGTAGCATGTCTGTGCCATATCACAAGTCCTGAAGAGCCGGTGGACCCCTGTGAAACCCCCTCCTGAGGGAAGAATCACACCCAGGCCCAGGAGGCCTGTAGAGAGACAATTACCGCTGACTGGTTTTAACAATCAAAGGCTGGGAACAACCTAATTATTCAGTAACAATTGGCACATGAAACAATTCTGAAATACTCAGATCACGTGAGAGCAAGTGAAAGTAAGCTGAGGTGTATGCAATGAATGGTGACTGCATTGAGCAGAACAGACATCGTTATGCGTTGGGAATAAATAGATGCTTAGATCAAGAGAGAGAGAAAAAAGAGTCGGTGGAACAGGGTCACAGCTCAAAGGGATGGTGGATGGTTGGCAGGCTAGACTCCAGCTCCATCCCGCGTGTGTCCCCTAAGCACCCCTGGGTCCTGGAAGTCTCCGAGCACTGTGGGGTGGCCCAGCCAGACACTGCCCGCCCTGACCAACACCGTGTCCGGGGCCCTCGCTTCCAACCTCTGGCCTGGTTGACTAAGAATCACCAGGAGGGTCTCCTGGATCCCCTGAGCACTGCAGGGATGGATACCCCGACGCCAGAAATGGCACTGATACTTCAGGAACCTGATGGGCCCAGAGGTGACTCCTGGCTCTGTGCTCTGGGGTTCCTCCCAGCGGTGATGAGGACCCAGCGTGGAGTCAGGACTCAGACCTGGGTCTCAGCATGCAGAGCCTGCTCTCAGCTGGTCACAATGTCTCTCTGGTCCCAGGAGTGGACACTTTGGGGCTGTGGGTGTGATGGGGGAGAGGGGGATAGCACCTGCCCTCAGGTGTGGAGCCCAGGGTTTGATCCCCCCGTCATGGATCCCGGGTCCCAGCCACACTGCCACTGTGAATCCCGGAATTCAGGCACACCACACCCAAGCACGGGCCCTTCCAACACCACCATGTGTGCGACCCCCGACTCAGAACAGCAACAAAGAGACAGAGAGGCTTTTGGGCGTGGTGACACACCTGCAATGCTCAGGGTTTACTCCTGGCTCTGCGTTCAGGAGTCATGGTGGGCATCCTAGGGATGCCGGGGATCGAACCCGGATCTGCCCAAGCGAGGCAAATGCCCTACCTATCACTCTGGTTCCTTTATTTTTTTTTAAGGATGATACAATTGCCCACAAATGAGCAAGTCGCCATTTCTTCAAGCAGAACATAATGGATCAAAGACTGATTTTATGAATAAATCAAACCAATCGTTAGAATCGTTATTCCAATAAAGCAAACAATACATTATAATTTTTTTTTTACAAAAAGAAGCCTCTCAGCTGGTTTTTCCCAAACCTGTAACTTACCTGATTGTGTAGATCTGGCCTTTTGTTCTGACATCAAAGCCGTTCATCTACTCTGGAACTGGGATATGACTTTTGAAGCTAACCCTCGGGGCATTATTATTTTAACCTACAGCAGGACAGACCGAGCGACCCCTCGCTCCAGTAGTTAACCATTACCTTCACATTTCATAGCATCAATTTTGGAACACTTGCTGTTAAACAGTCATTGTTATAAAACAACCAATAATGATTCCTTCATACTATTATGGACATCAAATCTCACTTTGAATTTAGAAGACCCTTCCTAGCCTTCTAAGTAGTCTTCTAAAAAAAAAGTCCTACTCCTCACCCCTTAGTCAAAGAATCAACAAGTGGGGGTCAGAGCAATAGTACAATGGTTAGAGTGTTTGCCTTGCGCACAGTCAACCTGGGTTTGATCCTCGGCATCCCATATGGTCCCCTGCAGGGAATAATTCCTAGGTGCAGAAAAGGAGTAACCCCTGAGCATCACCCAAGTGTGAACCCCCAAAATATTTTTTAAAAGGAATTAATGAGCTCCAGAGGTATAAACCCTCTGTGATGTCATGAACGCTGAAGGGGTCCATGGCCTGTCTGCCGGGACAACCTCAAATGTGCAGCGCAAAGCCCTGCTCTGACAAAGGGTGAGGGTGAGTGGGAAACTTCCTTCCTTCCATCCTCCCTTCCTTCCTCCCTCCCTTCCTTCCATCCTCCCTTCCTCCCTCCCTCCCTCCCTCCCCCCTCCCTCCTCCCTCCCTCCCTCCCTCCCTCCCTTCCTTCCTTTCTTCCTTCCTTCCTTCCTTCCTTTGGTTTTCTAAAACTGGCTGAGTCAGGAGTTCAGGTTCAGGCCCCTTGGCTTGGACCACACCCCAGGGGCTTCCTTAAGGGTTGGGGTACAGAGTAAGGTCAGCCTGGAGGAACTAGAGGCCCGGGAGAGAGCACCTCCTTGACCCTGACCCTGGAGGGGCTGAGCCTAGGAAGAGCCGAAAGGGCAGCCCACTGCTCTGAGTCCCGCTAGTGAGGCTGCTGCCGGAGATTTGACCTTGAATTTCCTACAAAGATCATGGCTGGGAGGAGGAAACCTGAAGGGTCTACATAACTGGTGGGAGCTACCATCAAAAGACATGGCCACTTCCGCTCACTGTTCAGTGCTTCGGTGTTTTTTTTTTTTTAATTTTTTTTTATTAGTGAAACACCATGAGGTACAGTTGTAGATTTACAATTTTTTGTGCTTGGGTTTGATTATACAATGATCAGATACCCATCCCTCCACCAGTGCCCATTTTCCACCACCATGGATAATATCTCCCCCATCCCCATCCTCCCATCTCCCCCTGCCTCTGTGGCAGGGCAATCCCCTGTGTTCTCTCTCTCCTTTTGGGTGTTGTGGTCTGCAAAAGAGGCATTGAGTGGCAAATATGTTCAGTCCATAGTCCACTTTCGACATGCATCTCCCCTCCTGGGAGGATCCTCCAAACACCCTTTATTTGGTGCTCCCTTCTCTATCTGAACTGCCCTTTCCTCTAGGATACCCGGCTGGCCACTAAGCTATGGAGTAATCCTCCTGGTGCTGATCTCAGCTATTCTTGGGTATTAATCTCCTATTTTGTTACTTTATGTCCCCCAGATGAATGCAATCTTTCTATGTCTATCCCTCTCTTTCTGACTCATTTCGCTTAGCATGATACTTTCCATGTTGTACCACTTGTATGTAAATTTCATGACTTCATCTTTTCTAACAGCTACATAGTACTCCATTGTGTAGATGTACCAAAGTTTCTTTAACCAGTCATCTGTTCTTGGGCATTCAGGTTTCTTCCAGTTTCTGGCTATTGTAAAGAGTGCTGCAATGAACAAACAAGTGCAGATGTCACTTCGACTGTACATTTTTGCCTCTCTGGGATATATTCCCAGGAGTGGTATTGCTGGGTCAAATGGGAGCTCAATTTCTAATTTTTTGAGAATCGTCCATACTGTTTTCCAGAAGGGCTGAACCAGTCGACATTCCCACCAACAGTGAAGGAGTGTCCCTTTCTCGCCACATCCGCGCCAGCATCGGTTGCTTTTGTTCTTTTGAATGTGGGCCAGTCTCTGAGGTGTGAGATGGTATCTCATTGTGGTTTTGATCTGCATCTCCCTGATGATTAATGATGTAGAGCATTTTCTCATGTGCTTTTTTGCCATTCGGATTTCTTCTTTGAGAAAGTTTCTGTTCATTTCATTGCCCCATTTTTGGATGGGGTTGGATGTTTTCTTCTTGTGGAGTTTAACTAGTATTTTGTATATCCTGGATATCAACCCCTTGTCAGATGTGTATTCGGCGAATATCCTTTCCCATTCTGTAGACTGTCTTTGTATTTTGGTCACTGTTTCTTTGGAGGTGCAGAAGCTTCTTAGTTTAAGATAGTCCCATTTATCTATCTCTGTTTTCACTTGCTCGGCCAGTGGCGTGGCATCTTTGAAGATACCATTAGCTTCAATGTCATGGAGGGTTTTGCCAACTTTGTCTTCAATGTACCTTATGGTTTCTGGTCTGATGTTGAGGTCTTTAATCCATTTTGATCTTACTTTTGTACACGGTGTTAGGCAGAGTTCTGAGTGCTTCGGTGTTTTGCAAGACGCCCTTTTGGAGAATCGCGCTGGGGGGAGCCTGTGCTGGCATGGGTAGAAAACCCGGAACTCCCGCGGACAACGTGGGCAGCCCAGCTCTGCCCTTCCAGTCACCTCTCTTCCGCTCCTTGCCAGGACATCTGAAGAGCTGATGTGGGCCAGAGTGATAGTCCAATGGGTAGGGCATTTGCCTTGCATGCAGCCAACCCGAGTTCAATTCCCAGCATCCCATATGGTCCCCCAAGCACCACCAGGAGTAATTCCCGAGTTTAACGCCAGGAGCAACCCCTGAGCATCGCCAGGTGTGACCCAAAAAAGCAAAATAAATAATAAAGAGCTGAAGCACCCCAAGTAGAGGGCAGTGAGCAGGTTCCCGCTGGTTCCTCCGCTGACCCCACCAACGCACCCAACTGCTCACCTGCCGAATGTGCAGCTTGCAGTACTGCCCACGGAAGTGGCCCCCGGGAGCTCGAGCAGAGAGGCACTCGCTGTAGGAGCCCAGCCGGTGTACATTTCCACTCAGAACGTTGCTCCCAAGCTTCCCCACGGAGTCATACACTGCAACACAATGCACAGGAGAAGGTGGGCTCCGTTAGGTTCCTGCAGTGTGTGCCGGGGGACCACGGGCCCTTGCTCTGCCTCTGTAACCTCTCCAACTTCAATGACTCAGGAAACAAGACAGAGAGGGATGCTTGTGGTGGTCCTGAGCCTGCACTGAGGGGACCAGAGAGGCATGGGCCGGTCACATGGCCTGCGTCTGGAAAGAAAAGAATTTCTGGTCTTAAAAATACAGATATTGGGGCTGGAGCAATAGCACAGTGGGTAGGGTGTTTGCCTTGCATGCGGTCGACCCAGGTTCAATTCCCAGCATTCCATATGGTTCCCTGAGCACCGCCAGGAGTAACTCCTGAGTGCAGAGCCAGGAGGAACCCCTGTGCATCACCAGTTGTGACCCAAAAAGCAAAAAAAAAAAAAAATAGATATTGGGGCTGGAGCGATAGCACAGTGGGGAAGGGATTTGCCTTGCATGCAGCCAGCCCGAGTTTGATTCCCAGCATCCCATATGGTCCCCCAAGCACTGCCAGGAGTAATTCCTGAGTGCGTGAGCCAGGAGTAACTCCTATGCCACTCCGGGTGTGACAAAAAACAAAAAAAAAACAAACAAACAAAATAGATATTGACCACCCATAGCTGCCGCCTTGACGACCCCACCCACCGGCCCTGCTCTTCAGACTCATAAGCTAAATCTCCAAGGAGATGCAAGGTCTAAACGGACACACCAGTCTCCCCGCTGAAAACTCTGGGGCGTGCTCGGGGGGACAAAGCCCCAGAAGCTACAACCACACACCCCACTGCTGCCACCACGCCGGGGGCCCAACACCACAGGTTCACTCAGAGTAACTGGAGACTCATCCCAGCTCTGCAGACCCTGATTTTGGGACCCTGTGTGTGAGCACAATGCTGAAACTCCAGTAGGCGCACAGGGAAGAAAGTGACAGAAAAGGGGCTGGGGTCATAGCATAGCGGGGAGGGTGTTTGTGCCTTGCACGTGGTTGACCCGGGTTCTATCCCTGTCATCCCATATGGTCCCCTGAGCACCGCCAACAGTGATTCCTGAGTGCAGAGCCAGGAGTAACCCCTGAGCATCACCAGGTAGGAGACCCAAAAAAGCAAACACAAAACAAACAAACAAACAAAAACCACTTACAGAAGCCAACAAACAAAAACAGCAACACAGAAGACTCAACTAGCTCCCGGTAGCTTAGTGAACCCTCATATTCAAAAATTTTTCTGAAATATTTTGATCATTTCTTTAGCCATTTGGTTGTAGCAAGCAACATAAAGCAAATTACGTGCCTGTTAAAGGGGAAACCTTGTGGGGTGGTTGGAAAAATGGAAGTGGTGATGGAGGGTTGAAGGACGGAAGGATTGGTACTGAAGCCTCAGAAGCCTGTGACAAGTATATCATGGACAACTTTGTAAACCACAGTGTTTAAATAAGCTTTCTGAAAAAAAAAAATGTCGACACAGCCGCAGAGAAGAAAGGCCGCTGGGCGGCTCCACAGCTCCCAGAGAATGCACCAGGTCCCAAAAAGAGCCGAGATCACCGGGAAGTCCCAGATGGGGTAGGTGCCGCATCCCACCTCCTCCAGATGGAACCCCGGTGACCATGAGCCTCTACAAGCATAGCTCGAGTATGCGGGAACCAGGACTTTTACTCCAAACCGCGTGGCCGCAATGGAAAGTAAATCATTCAACGTTTCTCCCTGGAAATCAGGCTTAACTCTTATACAAACCACAACACCCAATAGGAGAGAGAGAACAAAAGGGAATGCCCTGCCACAGAGGCAGGGTGGGATGGGGGGGTGGGGGTGGGGGAGGGATACTGGGATCCGTGGTGGTGGGAAATGGTCACTGGTGGAGGGATGGGTATTCAAAATAAATAAATAATTAATTAAAAAGTAAAAAAAAAAAATGCCTGTGGGCGCCAGGGTATGGCTCAGTGGTTATAGTCCATGTCTTATTTTGCTTTGTTCATGACCCCTTTGAAGGGCTGGTGTGGAAAGGCCCTGGGTCTGGTCATTCCTTCTGCTATGTGTGTGTGTGTGTGGGGGGGGGGGGGGGGTTGCTGAACTTTCTTTCCTTCTCTGTAGTTTGGCTTTTCCCTCTGAACTTCTTACAGCACTTTCATTTTCCCCGTTGGAAGCCAAGTTATCATCACGTTGGCGGAGTTGAAGGTTTTTACATTTTCCGAAACAACCGCACCCCGCTGGTCGCCATGGGCTAGTGACAGAGAGTGAGCTGGGGGGTGCCTTCGAGGGCTTGGCCACACTGGAGAGCTGAGGGTGTTATCCAGACCTACTCGTGTGCTAAAATAACTACCACCACACACACAGAACTAACCTTCAGGGCTTTCCTTTTTTGGACATTGTGCTATAATTACACGAGACAAAGTCGCCGGATAAAAACTCCCCAAGAGGCAGCAGAGACGTTAGGGCACTAGCCTGGCCTGTCGCCTCCCAGGGTCTGATCTGGGAAACTACATGTGCCCCCCTCCAAGCACCCCCAGGGGTCACTTCTGAGCACAGAGCCAGGAAGAATCTCAGAGCGTTGCTGGAGGTAGCCCCAAAACCAAAATAAAATTTTAAAGTCTCATTTAAAAGAATTATTTATTTACTGGGGAGAGGGGTTTGGGCAAACTCTGGACTTGCGTTTTGGTCCCTGCCTGGGGTCTGGGTTTGGCTGCATCCATGTGGGAGTGATTTCACAGGGCAGGCTGTGTCCAGTCATTGCCACGGAGGCAACTTCCGGCCACAGCACGGACAGGATTAACTCTGGCTCATGAGAGAAGAGCGTGCAGAGCTCTTACCAAGAGCTGGGCTCTGAGCCAGGGGGCAGACAGAGTCTCCAGCATCGCAGACAGTCACTGTGGGCGGTGCTCCCAGCCTTTCCCAGTGGTCCTCCCATGCAGACAGGCCTGACCACTCTCCTCAGAGCTCACTCTGCACGCCTGAGCAGGGTCCCCAGCACCGGTCAGGACGTGCCCTGCCTCCACAGGCCCAGATCCCACAACCATCTCTTGGTGTCGGGAAGGCACCAGGCCCGCACTTGTCCATCTGTCTGGAATGTTCCTCCTTAGTGGACCCATGAAATGCTGACTCAGCCTCCGCGTCTCCACTGCAGGCTGAGTTATCCCCAAAACAGCTCTTCCTCCTTAGCATCTGGGACTCAAGACTTAGTATTGTTCACCGGTCTGTCCCTTGGGCCAGAGGGTTGTGTACCCACTCATGTCTGACTCAGAGGAACCCCATAAATGTTTACCCGGTTCAACTAAACTTGGAAAAGATCAAGTTCAAATGCCCCACGTCCGGTTCCAGACTGTATTTTGAGGTTGTCCCTGCATCAAGAATAAATAAATATAAAAAAAATAGATACATTTTGGGGGTAGGACGATAGTACAGTGGGTGAGGTACTTGCCTTGCACATAGCTGACCCGGGTTCAGTTCAATTCCTAGCATTGCCAGATGTGGCCCCAAAACAAAACAAACAAACAAAAACAGTTGCCTTTTCAATTTTTTTTCCCAGAGTCGGGAGTTAAACCCAGGGCTCATGCATGCACAGCAAGGAAGCATTCTATCATTGAGCTACATTCCCAGTCTCCAGTGCATTGATTTGAAATAGACCAAGTTATTTCTAAATTCTCGTCTTTGTCAGCAGCTGGGAATTTCCAGCTCTTGAGCCTGATGTTGAAGGATGTGGAATCATTAGAGTTAAAGGTGTCAGTATCGGCCCTGGGGCCAGAGAGAGAGAGATAGCTCATCAGGCTGTGTGCGAGGTCTCATGCAGGGGGCCTGGGTTCGCTCCCCAGAATCACATGGCCGCTGAACACCTCAAGGAGTACCCCAAGCACAGAGCTGGGAAAAGCCCCCTATCATGAGGTGTGCCACCACTTAAAAGATACGGAGCTTATTTTCACCCTTAGACAAAACCCAGGGAAAAAAATAAGCATTACTTTTAAGATTGATTAGAGTTCTAGAACTTTCTACAGCCTTCAGATTCATGTTATAAGTATACCTACATTTTAAAACGTAAGATGAGAGGTTGGAGAGATAGCACAGAGGTTAAGGTGCATGTCTTGCATGAAGGCAATCCTGGTTCCATCCTCATAATAATCCCCTCATGGTCCCCCAAGCATTGCCAGGAGTAATCCCTGAGCACAGAGCCAGGAGTAGCCCCTGAGCACTGCCAAGTGTGGTGAAAAAAAGAAAAAAAAAACAGAAAGACTATTTTTTTTTATGAAAGATGATTCAGGCAGTAAAAAAGAAAAGAAAAGATGATTCGGGCAGGGATGTAGGTCTGTGGGAGCGACTCTTCTTACCCGTGGGAAACCCTGGGTTTGCTCCCCAACTTAAATAAGAATAACCTTGTTATGAAATGCAAGATGCTTGACTGGGCCTTATTTTCCTGCACTCCATCTCAGAAATTCATCACCTCTGCATTCTATAAGGCATCACCACCATGAGAGAAAAGCAGCTTTGTTTAAAGGATTAAATTCCAGCTTCTGTTCCAAGCTGTGTTCTACACAGTACGTTAGCTGGACGCGTGCTTTCCTGGCCGAGTTGTTTGGTGTGTGATGCAAATGTTCACATCATATTTGCTTCCTTTCTGATTATGAACTCCAAAGGACAAACTGCTTTTTTCAGAATCATGCCCCGGGCACTGTCCTCATCAAATCGCAATGGGATTGTCACAGAGGCAACAAGAGAACGAACTCAGGGTTCACATTCACCTGCTACTTCCAATCATAGAGCCATCACTCCAAGATTTCATTTCCAAAATTAAAAGCAGCTCATTCCAACTTAGCTGGATTAGCTAGCAGGCAAATTTGCTGCCTCACATGGTGATGCCGCTGTTAGAATGCGGAAATGATTCATCTCTGGATTTCAACAGAGGCACAAAAGACCTTTGGCCCATTTACATCATGGATACTCAGGGGCTAAAGAGATAGCAGAGTGGGTAAGGCACTTGCCTTGCACACAGCCAACCTGGGTTCGATC